CTTAGGTGTACGTGGCTGGCGCCTTAGCCGGTTGAGCTATAGGCACCGAGCCAATCCAGACTATCTTTACAGTGAAATGAAAATATAGCAAGAGTTTTGTAGAAAACTCACTTACTCCTGAGAATCCATGCATAGATCCCAGAGTTAAAAGACCTCTAAACTGAGAGAAGACATGGATTTAGCATGTCATCCACGTTATTGATATGATTGCTTGGCCGACTACTAATTATACAACATGAAAGTAGTCTCATCTTCTGGGCTCCCAATTCCCCTAGGGAATGAAAATGTTGGACTACATGATTACTGATATCTCTTCTAGCTGTCATGTCTCTGTGATGTGGCTGGTGTTAGAGGATGCAAATCACATGGCTGGCTATGCCATTTGGTGATTATGTCCAAAATGCTTTGACATTTTGTTGGGCTGTCAGGTGGCACATTCTCAAAATTCCTATTAATGAATATTGAACCCTAGTGAAATGTATGTTTGGTTCTGTACCAGTTCCAGAATGTGACTACTTTCTTTGGCCTTAGATTCTCTTTTAGAAGCTTGGCGCCAGCCACATACACCAGAGCTGGCGGGTTCGCATTCAGCCCAGGCCTGCCAAATAACAATGACAACTGCAACCAAAAAATAGCCAGGTGTTGTGGCGGGCATCTGTAGTCCCAGATACTTGGGAGACTGAGGCAAGAGAATTGCTTAAACCCAGGAGTTGGAGGTTGCTGTGAGGTGTGATGCCACGGCACTCTACCCATGGTGACAGCTTGAGGTTCTGTCTCAAAAAAAAAAAAAGATTCCCTTTTAGGGAAACAGAATGCTCCTTGAGTATGTTACTACCATAGTAATAGGCAGAGCTAGAGGACTTTGATGCTAAAGCATCCATATTCTGTAAATATGGTTTAGAAGGTAAATAAAACCATACCCTGTAAATATGGTTTGGGGAGACTAGAATGGTTGTTTCCTTTTATATACCATAAATAAATTTAAGCTAGGATATCCATTAATTTAAGATTTCTTGGCTCAGCGCCTGTGGCTCAAGTGGCTAAGGCACCAGCCACATACACCTAAGGTGGCGGCTTCGATTCCAGCCAGGGCCTGCCAAACAACGATGACAGCTGCAACCAAAAAATAGCCAGGCGTTGTGG